ATTCTCTAGCCATAAAATAATATACAAATGGACCCACTCATCTTGTATTAAAAAAACTATATAGTTTTCATTTTGATTTTCATTTCCATGTGTATTATTAATAAGAGAGATTCTGGCCTAGTGGTGGGAGGGGCTTATCCCCTTCCTTCGCACCTGGCTTCGAACCTCACCATGCACGCCTGTCACCCCCGCGGTGCCTTACCTGCTCACTGGGCTTGCAGGATGTTCAGTGGGCCGTGGGGATTAGTCGTGGTGCGCGTAAGCTGGCCCGGACACCCCACGTAAATAAAAAAAAAAAATAAGAGAGATTTTCAGTATATTTATATTTATTCTCTGAGTTAGTCTTTTTCTTATTATGCTAAATATATAACCATCAATGCTGATAAATAGACTCTTTTGGAGCATAGCCAGGAAATTTAGTTAGGGGGGCAAATTAAGAAAATCATTCCAAGAGGGATAGAATATAAACTTTTCTAGTCTTAGGGCCAAAACTATAAATTGTTCGAAGAGACTGGAGATTTTTTAGGGGCCGGGCCTGCCAGCCCATCTAATTTAAACTTAGGGCCACCAGGAACATGACCTACCCTTATGATTAAGTTAATATGAGAATTTTGAAATTTTGGATCAGATAAATACTTTTTTTTTTTTAACCTAATGATCAAAAGAAAACTGTTATCATATAAGTCTGATAAAGGAAAACCCAAAAACAACCTCGTCCTGTTGCTCTCGCAATGAAATAAAAATATATAAAATAAATCGACTATGATACCTACTCATCCATCCTATTTATAGTGCTGAGCGAACACTTAAGAATTACAAAGGCTTTTGTGCTAGCGAATAGCTCAGTACGTAATATCAGCCCCATGGGCCTTTTTAGACATGCGAATGATGGGTTTCTATATATCAAGAGGTATTTCTCCAATGATTTTTAGAGATAAAGTTGGTTACCTGGATCGAATTAAATTGTTTTTTGAATGTCAAGAAAGTATTTATATGTTGTTAATGTTTTATTTTTTTAATGAATAAAAATAATTTTAATTATACAATATTGATTTGATATAACCCAATTAACTTTGTGAGTCTAGAAACAATCTATACAATTTATAAAAACATAATTTGACTAAAAATAACTTTGAAATATTTTTTTTTAATATTAAAATAAAAATATAATAAATTGACTTGTTTTAACTTGAGTTAACATGTTAACTTCGTGAATCGAGTTATGAGACTATGATAATCTTATAAAAAATAAATCAAAATAAATTATAAAATTTAATTAAAAAAATAGATTGTAAGACTCAATTCTCAACTAATTCAGTGTTAAATAATGAAATTAAAAAAAATAAATTAAAAAAAATACAAAAAATAATTGGAGTGAATTCGGGTTAACTTATTAAATACTAATCCCGGATAATGAGGTTAAAATAACATAATAGAAAATAAACAAAATAAATCGTCAAGTTTAATTTTTAATTAATCTAATATTAAAAGATATAATCGAAAAAAATAATTAAAAAAACTCTAATCAATTGAATTAACCTTTTAAACTTACATGTAATTTATATGATAAAAATATAATAAATTTAATAAAAAAAATTAATATTAAAAAAATATATTAATTTTATAACTCGATTGACTTTATGAATCCAGAAACAACTCATATAACCTTTAAAAATATAATTTGACTAAAAATAACTTTAAGATAATATTTTTTTTTTAATATTGAGATAACAAAGATGGTAGATTGACTTGTTTCAACCTGAGTTAATATATTAACCTCATGAATCGAGTTATGAGACTATGGTAACTTTATAGAAAATAAATCAAAATAAATTATAAAATTTAATTAAAAAATAGATTATAAAACTCAATTCTCAACTGATTCAACGTTGAATAATGAAATTAAAAAGAATTAATTAAAAAAAGATACAAAAAACAATCGGAATAAACTCAAGTTAACCTATTAAATACTATTCTGGAATAATAAGGTTAAAATAACATAATAGAAAATAAACAAAATAAATTATAAAGTTTAATTTTTAATTAAATCTAGTATTAATTAAAAAAGAAGAAGCAATGAATCAATAAATAATATTTTATAAAAAAGTTATAGTAAAATCCCTTCATCAACTAGTTTTATCGTCAGTCAGTATCTAGCAAGCGCCAAGGGGGAAGGCACAAAACTGTGCCTTACCACTTGGCCATCACCTAGATGGTTCTGTAAAGATATCTTTGCTGACACGGGAAGTAACCATGAGACTTTTCTTTAATAAGTCGAAAACCTCTCTACTTCTCCCCCAGAGGCCAAACCTTCCTTATTCCTTGTGGCGGACGCTACAAGGGGAGGATGTTGCATCTTCGAGGCTCGGAGGAATTTTGATGACACCTGCTTTTTTTTAAAAAAAACAAATTTATTTAAAAAAATTAATTATAAATTATTTTTAAATTCTTTTAGTATATAATGTTAAAAATAAAATTTAATACATTATTAAATAAAAAAACTTAAAAAAAAAACGGCCGGAAAACGGCATCGATTGTTTTTGAGTTGTAGATGGAGGGAAAAGCAATGCTATCGTGGCATTTCAGATGGAGTGGAAGGAGGGGGCAGCAGGGCAGGGCGGGGTTTTAGACATTCTTAAATTAGTCAATTAATCGATGCCAGTCACGTGCTAAGAAATGTTAATATAAGACAAACAAAAAGCCTATGATAAGGATTATCAGTTAACAACGTAAGGATTCCAGGAAGGTGACCTTTATGAGTCAATATAACTTAAATAATTTACATAGTTTTCTCTCTCTCTCTCTCTAAGATTACTTACTTTGTTTAATAAATATAAAATACTTATTTTTTAATACCTATGTAATTAATGAAAATTGATTAAGAAAAGATTACGTAGATCTTCAGTATAAATTCACTTTATTTCCATTATAAATACCGTGTTTTTTTTTTAATTTTATGAATTCATGAAAAAAAAAACACATCGATTTAGTTGACTTTCCGAAGTTTACAAGAAGCAGTTGCCTCAATTTATCATTTTACAGGTATACGGAAAAAAGAATTGGATCGAGGACTGGTTTTTGGGATCCCGATGCATGGTTCCATGTCCAGCAAAAATCAAAGTTTACCTTTCTTTTTAGGTCACTGTATTTTTTAAATATTTATTTATTTATTTATTAAAAATTAATTTTTTAATATTTTGAATTGTTTTAATACATTAATCTTAAAAATATTTTTTTAAAAATAAAATAAAATATTATTTTAATATATTTTAATATAAAAAATACTTTAAAAAATAAACATAACTACACTCATAAAATATTTTAAAAAATAAACATAACTACACTCAGAAATAAATTTTTAGTTAAATTTCATATCATGTAACCGAATCCAATATGAATTTAAAATGTTTTTGAAAATATAATTTTTTATTTTTTACTTTTTACTTTTTAAATTATTTTAATATACTGATATTAAAAATATATTTAAAAATATTATTTTAATATATTTAAAAAAAATACTTAAAAAAACAATTATTTAAAATAATATCTAATACTCTTACTTTTTAATGCTAACGTTATTTTATTGTCATCATAGACTTATAAAACGACATCAATGCATGATCATACTAGAACCTAATCCACTAGGACATGTCTTATCATACTCAATAGGATCATCATGCACTATTAAGAATTATTATCCCATGTAATTACCATATAATAGACTGCATAATCTATTCTAATATTTTCCATTTATGCTCCATGCAAATAGAAGTGATTCATGAATATATAAACTCTCATAAATCATCAAAGAGCTAATATATTTTTCTTTTTTTTCCTTTTATAATCTTTTATATCTTCTATCCAATCATACACAACACAATCTCAAAGATTTCTCTCCTCCTACATCTATACTAATTTAAGTATAGAAGTTCCTTAAAAAAAAAAAAAAACCATGGAGTCCAAAGTTCAACAATCTCAATTTCATTGTCCTCTTCCTTGAGATCCCAATCCATATATGAACCTTGAAAAGATCTTGAGTTCCTAGGATTCTCCATCAACCTCGTCACTAACAATAATCATTAATTGTTCTTCCTCGTAAGCAATTGACAAAACTTCTTAAGTTCATTTCACAACTTTTTATTAATTGCTTTTGATCAAGAACAACATTAATTAAAATCCCTTACACAGATGGGGGACTAATTTGTAGTTTCTCCAAGAACTAATATATAACCACCATTGTTGTACAAAACATGGTCTAACCAAAGCCATACAAATAACTTTGTAAGTTCATACAAAGGCAAACACAAAGTGCCATCCCAAGTTTTTTTAGTTATAACATTTGATTAGGATAATTTTTTTTTAAAAAAAGAGTTATTAAATTAATTATTTGGTATATCAATTTGGTCTAATTTAAATTAGATTTGACTAGATTAACTGTTTTATTAAAAAATTGATTAAATTAACCGAGTTTTATCAGATAAATATATTTTCAACTTAATTTTAGATTAATTAGATATTTAACATAAGTTTTTTACATCAACAACTAACCAACATGATTGAATTTAACAATTATTGTTTTAATATATTATACAGATTTTGATTTCATTAATATAGTATTCAATTTCTTATTTATTTTTTCTAATTTACAGTTCAAATGAAGCATCCTATCAACAAAAACCCATCATTTGTGTTGATATTTACCAAAAAAAAAAAAGAAGAAGTCAAGCTAAGAAAAGAACATCCTTTCTGCCGTATCCATAGTTTTCTCCCACTTTTGGCTCGGACAGCCTTTTGCTTCGCTGGACCGTATCTACCGTTGTTAGTTACCATCTCCAAGTTCCCACTACATTCCACGTGAATCTCCTGTTCTCTTTCATCCAATAACTTCTCCGCCACGCCATCAAAATCCTATTCACGTCACACGTGTCCATCTTCTATTTGCTAACTAACTAGTAAACAAGCATCGGCAGTACACTAAACGCGTATTGTGCAAAACCCCCCGAGCAGAACTCCTCCCCTGCTTGTCTTTATAAAATCCTGTTTCTTATTTGCACGTTGTTCTGTTTTCTTGAAATTTAAGAAATTAAGCTGAAGATGTCAAATTCAAAGGATACACCACCGAAGAAGGACGTAGAATCGCCGGCGACTGAAAATACAACACCTGCGGCGGAGACAGGAACTGGGTTTGGTGTTGCGCCGATTACAAGGAGATGGAGAAGAGAGGACATGTTAAAGAGAGGGTCATTAGCATTGAGAGGATTGGCTTTCTTATTTTCTTTGCTTGCTTTTATCATCATGGCCAGTAACAAACATGGAGATTGGAAAGATTTTGATAAATATGAAGAGTACAGGTAATTAACAATGGAACTGGAATTGGGGTTTTAATTTGGGAGTCATTTAATATTTTTTATTGATTTTATTGTGATAATTATAGGTATTTGTTGGCAATAGCAATACTTTCGACTTTTTATACGGCCGGGCAAGTGTTAAGACATGTTCAAGAGCTTTCGACTGGGAAACAAATGTTAGAAAAGAGGACTTCTGCCATGGTTGATTTCTTTGGGGATCAGGTTTGACTCTCTAATTCCTTTTTGTTGTAATACATTTCTGTGATTTGTTTAGTTTCTAAGAAATGGTTACGTATTGGAATTTGATCTTTGATTTGGACTTTGATGGGTTTAATTTGATTGATGGTTAAGATTTGTTGAATTTTGTGAAGTAGGGGCTGCTATATCCCAAGTTCCATTCTGCCAGTCTTCTTGACAGCCCATGAATCTGTATCT